GTGTGTTGGATTTTTTTTTTGCCTTTTTTTTTTTTCCCTTTTTCCTAAGATTCCAGCAACAAAAAAACAACAGCAAAACAGTAATGTTTTGGCTTTTCCCCTCCATTAGTCACCAGAAAGCAAATATCAACAGCCTGTTACAAATTTGGAAGTGGTTCAGGCATGATCTCTCTCTCTATCAAGGCATGCACAGTATGCCAAGGGCAAAGACTGCAAGTAACACTTCATTGCAGATTGCAGTCGTGCAATGTTCCAAAGAGATTTGCAGATATAGCTAATAAAGGAACTTCCATAAGCCTATGGTTTCAGATGAGGTGGGGAGGAAAAGAAATGGCAATTTATCACATTTTTCTGTCCATTAGTTGGGGCAATGTACTGCATAAATAACCAATTTTGGCCTTTTCTCTGCCCTTTGTTAGTAGCAGTAGTCTGCTGTGAAAGATGGGGAGGTAAAGAAGACAGGACAGTCTAAACAAATAGCAGGAATTGGATCGTTTTCCTTGCAAGGTGCTCATTTGCTGTGGGATCTGCAGAACACGCAGTGTTAAGTGCAGTTGTTCTCTTAACTAACTGTAAATGCTCCTGTACCGCAGACGGGAGTGTAACGCAGAAATCGAAGTAAGGTGAAGGCCAGTCGGTTCTGCTTTGGAATCGTTCTGCTGTTGCAGAACACTTTGGTATGGGCTCAGTGCTGTTCTGTTTTACTGAGCTGATCAACTGCCTGGCAGGCTTGTAGGGCAGGAGGTGGCAAAGTGGCGATAGCAACTCACCTGCTGGGTTTTTGTCTTTTTTTGTTTTGTTTTCTGCCCCCCACCTGTAGTTACCATCTTACTTGGATTCCAGTGCTGAATCGTAGTGTGTCAGGGTATGTTTATTACAAGTGTTGCTGCTTTATGTTTTGCTTCTCTCTCCCTTCTTTACTGCTACCCTATAAGAACCATGTTTCAGGTAGAAGATAATTTTCTGCTGCCTTGTATATATGCTTGTGTTTTCTGTAACGATGCCACAAGAAAACAGAATAGACCTAGGAGAGACAACAGTACGTGAGCTTAAAAAAAAATAGAAAATCATTTCCTGTTGTGGTTGAAGTCAAGCCCATAGATTTATGGTTTAAATCAGTGGCAGTTCCACTGGTATTTGTGCTCTGAAGTGGAGCTAGAACATCTTAGCACAATTCTGTTTAAAATCAGTGTGTGGATACAGTTCCTCTGGCTTGGCTGAGCAGGTGCTGTGGGTGAAGGTAATTTGGTAGCTTTTCTCAGAGCACGTGTCATCTGTGATGAGACTGGGTTCAAAGTTAGTACAGCCCATATATAGTTCACACAGCTTCAGGATTAAATTGTGAAAGGGAAAAAGGAATACGGCAAGAAATGAAAGAAGTATAAGTAGTTTATATTAAATTCAGTGTTAGTGTCAATAAAAATGCAAACCAAAACCAGCCCTGCTGAACTAGAGTACCTGCAACCACCTGATATTTCTCTTAAACTTTTCAGAGTCACATTGACACAGTTGCAAGTAATGGTCAGGGTTTTTTCCAGTCACTGTTCATTTTAAATGGTTTTAACAGCTCTGGAAGTATTCATGAATTCAGATTTCCTCACTCTCCTGATCATGTTGCTGGCTTAAAATTCACATTTAATTAACCTCTTTGCCCAAGGCATAAATCAATACTAAAACTCCAAATACTACCCATACTGATAGTGATTTTCATTTGGAGGGAGCCTGCTGAAAATTAGGAATTAAGATGCCTGAAGGAAAGGAGCAAACTAGTTGTGCGGAGTGAAGCACAACTAACTTGTAATCTGCAATAATGAATGTCCTTGGATGGGATGGGAAATCCATTCATCAAGGTTCCCAGGGAAGAAAGTGAGAACCAGACTAAGGTGAGCATGTGGGTTCAGGACAAAATTCGTTTGAGGGGCTGGACTTACATTAAAACACAATTGCTCTGTACTTTACGAGTCCTGAGGTTCCTAGAATGGTATTTCAAGTAGCAATAGCAGAGAGCAAAATAAATGAGAATTCTATGAATTCGCATGTCTGCAAATTTTTGTAACAAAAATCCTGTATAGTGTTAATTACTCCTTTCTATCAGTGCCACCTAGTAACGCCGTAATGTATTTTTAGTGTAGCAGCTCCTAGGAGTGCAGATCTGTGTAATTGCATTGTGAGAGGTATGGGAGACAACTAATGGGACTAGGTAACACATAGAAGAAGAATGTCATGATTAGTTTCCCTAGGGTTGGGGAAATAGAGTGCTCCTTAACTGTTATACAAATACTCTTGCACCCAAGATAAAAGTGGTTGCAAGTACTGTTACAGAGACTAAACAACCCATTTAATTTTCATTGTGTTAGCACATTTTGCAGAAACTTAATTCTTACCAAGTGATCAGTAGAAGGGGCTCCTATCTTTCTATCTCTCAAGAAGAATTTCGATATAGTTCTGACTTTTTCTACTCTAAATTTCAACATCAGATTTATTTGCACAATTATTTTGCTAAAGACAAACCTGGGGGGGGGAAAGGGAGATGCGTTACTGCAGCGAGTTTAAAATTCTCCTTGATCTATTGCTAAAGCTTGAGTACCCCCTGAAATAATAATGAATGATAATTGAATAAATAATTAATTGTTATCTGGGATTTAATGAGATGATGAGGTAGTAGAACGAGGTTGTTTACTGAGATATGGTTGTTATCATACCTGCTGTAGTCAGTATTATTTTGCCTGAAGTATTCAAATCTGTGTGTTCTAAAAATGTAAGAGCTGCTTTCTGTGCTGGTGAATCAACTGTATTTTGCAAATGAGCTGTCAACTAAGCAATCTCAAAGCACTTTAGGCTACGTTTCAGGAGGATATTCTTTTATATTCTTTCCTGTAAATATGTGAGGTGAGTATTGGCTTTACTCACAGTATATACATAGGAGTCTTAAATCAATTTGGGTCTCGAATAGTAGTGATGGACAATCTATTGGAAGCAAGCATGCCTACACAGGAGGTTATGTTTGCATTGTGACTCTCGAGGTTTTTCTAGCTTCAGTACAGAGGTTTTTTTTCAATTTAGCAGCTAATGAAATGGAACCTTTGTAGAATTTGAAGTTTTCTTAGAGCAAGAGACCTAATTTCCCTCTGTCAGATAGTTATAAAGCAAGGACAACTTGTTTTTTGAGGGTATATGACATCTTTATTCCAATGTGCTAACACTGAGTGCAAAAACTGAAGCAGAATTTGTTGAAAGTTAAGTTCAGCTGCAGTGTTGTTCTTGAAGTTCATTTATACCAGGAAGGCATGGAATATTCTCTTAGCAAAACCATATCACTGCAAAGCTTTTTTATTGTTGTTGTTTTTGAGTGGTGAAATCATACAGGGAATCACTTCAAGGCTAGTTTTGCAAAGGCTTTGAGGGCTCTATGGTCAGCTTTGCACTTGTTTGCAGATGTTATTTCAGGTGGACCTTTGATTTGCAGTAAATGCAAATCTGCATACTTGAACCTTCAGACTACTTGAATTACACACCTCATTTCACCAGAATCAAGTGGTTGGTATATCTTCAGCAGAGCCATTAAATAAAGTCTTGGCTCAGCAAAGTGTTTAACCACGTGGTTAAAGCTCAGCACACTTTTAAATCCCTCGATACTTGAGGACCTTCAGGCAAAATTATGTCATCAATTATACGCATGTTACTTCCTTGGCTATAATGGGATTGCTCAGGTGTAATGAAAGCAAAAGGGGCAAAACCAAGGGCCATTCTATGTAGTTTTGTTCATTTGGCTCTTCACTGATTTCAAATGTTCTCGTACAAAACCTTGGACAGGGTACAGCTTCAGGTTATGTTAACTCTGCTTATTTCTAATACTCAGGTTGGACAAAGTCTTTAGGTCTTGAAATACAAAGCTGAGTTTATATGACTGTGTAAATGAGGAGCAGAGAGGGGACCCCACCATGCTTAGGAAGTAATTAGTTTATCAGGAATCAGAGTACCAGTAACTATGAACCTTGCTGTGCTCCTTGCTCAGTCACTGCTCAGAGTGTGGCCCATTGTTATTGTAAATGGAGCTCCCTTTTCCAAGACTTAGAAACCTAAAAAAATAGGTTTGCAGAGATAGTTTGAGGTCAGTCAGGTAGGAGTAAAGAAATTTGCATCATTTCTGTATTTTGCATGCAAAATATATTATAGGGTTTTATCAGAGCTTCCCTTATGTGCTTGCAGCTGCAGAGCTGCACAGTGCATTCGCATATGATAGCCATCACTTCAGGCTCTATTTCACCTTGTCACATCCCATTTATAAACTGAGGTTTTTAATAGGACAACAGGCAGTCACTGAAGAGGGAAGGCCTTAGAAAATAAATAAAGACTGAGGAAGTCAGAGATCATTAAAGCTGACACCACCTCACATGTTCATTAATTATGAATCTATTTGGAAGAGCTTTGTTAAACTGCTGGCAGATACATGTGATACGGATTTTGAAAGCTCTTGACTCAGCCCTTGGAACACCTCAACTAGGGGAACCCAGAAGTGAAATTCAACCCTAGGGTATTTAAGTTCACATCTGTATTCAGCCTAAGGTTTGACTAAGTTTAGTTAAGGCTGAAATTCTGGCCAGGTGGGCTTCCTCTACAAATGTTCCTTCTTGGCACTTTCTTCTTGCAGAAGAGAATTTCATTCTGTATGGAAGAAGATCTCTTTGCCTTGCTGTCCCATGGCCCATGCCATCTGCAGCTTTTACACAGGATGTACTGTGGCTTTCCCAATAAAATCCCAGCTAGTCCCTTGCATGTTTTATATAGACAACCATACATAATGAATGTTCTGGTTACCACACATGTTATGAGGAAATTTAATATGTTTTGACTGCTGTTCTTCAGTAAGCAACGGGGTAAAGGAAGGATGATACCTCTGTGTATCCATACCTACTCACACGTTTTCCTGTGCATTGCTCTGCTTTTGTTCCTGAAGGTATCATACTCAGTTTTGTCTGTTCTCTGCTGTTTCTTCATAGGTGTCTACAGGATCTCTAAAGAAAAACTTCATCCTGACATGAACCATGATCAACTTCTGTTCCTCCCAAAAGGAAGACATCAGGCATCCCAGAGACTGCACACCACAAAATGTGAGTAGACAGTACAAAAACATGTATTTATCTGGGCTTCACTCATTCTGAGCACTGTGTAATGCACTTGCAAGACAAAAAAATACCTTTTAACAGATGTCTTTCTGACCCTATGTGTAATAGTAATAAATAATAACCTTGCAATTACCTTTTTTAAAGAAAGGCTGATGCTGAAAAGCAAAAGTACCCTAAACAAATTTAAATATGAAGGTAGGCCAGTAAGTACACACTGAGGAACTAATACGTTTCCTTATCCTGACTCCTCTGAGCCAGTTTCTCCTTTACTTTTTCTTGCAAGGACAGCTAGAAGAATCCCTGAAGTTTATTCCAAATGCCAGTCTGTAACATAAGCTAGGGAAGGGTAGACTTTCCGTGCTGCAGCTGCTGTCTGACCCTGGGTTGCTTACTTAGTGACCTCAGCAATATGCACAGTCTCCACAGGCCTAGAGAAGGGAGCCTGTGGTTAGCTGCCATCTGGTCTGGTTTGTTGGCCTAATGTGCAGCTTTCAGGCCATGGAGATACCTCAAGATCCTTCACTTTGTGTATGTCATAGAGGCTGCTAGGTTCCCACCCTCACATTCTCAGTGATCTTCCTTTCCTGTGAATGAACTCATTACTGCTGCAGGGTTAAACGCTTATTGCATTATAAGCAAAAAGCTTATTTTCATATTGCTTTTTACAGATTGTTTCCTTCCATGCTTACTGCTACTGTCTCCTTAGAGCAAGTGTTGCTTCAGTATTGAAAAAATAGATTTGTCTTTACGTAATAACAGCTGATAGTGTTCAACTTGCTCAGCACCTTTCAGCTAAGGACTCTGGGAAACATTTAAGACATTAAACTCATGTTAAAAAAAACACTAGGGAGTCAAGAAGCTGTTAATACTCATCCTAGATGAAAAGGGCATTTAAACGGAACAAAGCAATTTGTCTGAAGTCAAATAACCAATGACTCATGAACTGGAGTCTGAAGCTCAAAGGTCTTGCTTGCCCCCCCTCCCTTATGCATGCTATTTGCTGTGGTTGTTATAGCTCAAAATCTCTCCAGAGGTGGTAGTAGAACTTAGGAATCCTGACACTGACCAAATAAACAGTAAATTAATGAAGCCTGGTTGCCATATTCTTAATGTACTACATGTGTACATGACAACAGAGTACCTGTCTAAAGCCCAGGATTCTTTAATAAGCGCACAGGGTGCTGGAATTCTCATGAAATGTGCTGTGGATCTAAACTAGTGTTAGCCTCAGGGTTTGGATCAGCATTTAAAAGTACCAGACAGCTATTCAGCTGGAATCTTTAAGGTAGTTCTGATATAGAAAAAGAGGAGGAAAGAAAGGAAACTAGGCAGTGAGACTGGTAACTCTTGAAATCTTTTGATTTCTATGAGGAGGCGGTTGCAGTGTCTTAACCAGGATGCAAGGTGGAGTACATGAATCTGGATTTAATTTCATAAGCATGCAGATCTTGTTGAGAGTATCAGTGTAACAATTCAAACTAAAATGAAAAATATTCCACAGTTTAAACGCTATTTGTAATTGCATTTTGACTGCAAAGATGTTATCAGAGCATCTTTTAAGCTCCAATTAATGCAAACCTAATTCTCCTTTAATAACAGTATCAGGAGGGTTTTAAATAAAGAACATAAAGACTTATTTTTGAGCTCCAGATAACTTTCAAATGTCTTCTCTTCAATTTTCATAGTGTGTATGTAGTCTGTGAGCTGGAACTATACTGATGTAGGCATTTGCATAAGTTTAGGGATCTGGCTTTACTGGTCACTACTATTTGCTCTGTAATTCCTTGTACAACAGAATTGTGACCTATGGAAACAATTTTTGATCAATAATGCCAAATAATTAAAGAATTAATGAAGATTCCTGGACCTCTGTTTTTAGATACTGCTGTTATGTCAAATAAGTATCTAGAATTATTGACGTTTCTGTTTACAATCCTGTCTCAGAATGGAGCGATACTATTAATTTCCTTTTGACTGCAGGGTGCAGCTTAGACCTGTTTTTTGTGGTGGGCTTTTTTTCCCCCCTAAGATATTTTAATATTTTGTTACTGAGAATGTAAAACTTAAATGTGTATAGCAGTCAATTTTTCATATTTCAGTCATGTCTTAGGTTTCATTAACATTAGAAGATTTTTTTTATGGGTGCCCATGAAATGAAAACAGGTATAAAATTTGTATTCGGCTTAAAATTTTATAAGCAAAGTTACCCCTAACATTAAGTAGGTCATTTTCTAATACCATAAAACATAGTGACAGGAAAAAATCTTGAACTGCTTCTGCAGAACTGGGGAGATGTGTATCAAGAAAGAAGCATATATCCCTTGAGAGGTAGCCCAGTTGAGGTGTTGAGAAAACACAATTCACTCTTTACATTCTGTCTTCAAGACTAAGGTCATTCAGAGTCATACCAAGTGTCACAGTTAGAGCTTAAGTTTGCATTTTGGGATAACATCTCGCATGCTAACCCTAGCAAAGCTAGTTCTGAAATTTGAATCTGCTAACACCAGCTGTGCTTCTGTAACCAGGCTAATGAGCCAGCTAAAGCAGGATTACATTGCCAAGATGGAATCTAGCAGACAGTCCCCATACAAGAACTCATCAGTACTGTCACCGGGTCCAGAAACAGAAATGTCTGCCAGTGAGGAGTGGCACATAGGTCCACATATGTGCATGGGCACAAACAGATATATGTGCACTGTTCTGTACCATGGCTGCAGAAGGCAGGAGAATACATTTGAATTTAGTTGCGTGATGAAAAGGCCCTTCCTGGCATCCTGCATGTCTTGACCGAGTGGGACTCCACTAATTCCAGAGTCCTTACTGTTCCACAGAAGAGGGATTTATAGAATTGAGCAGGATTAAGGCGGCAGCTTTGAGGTGCAGGATTACAAGAAGGTTGGTTATATGCAGGTAAATGTTGACTACGGTTTTCTGAACTCTGCATAGTATTCAGGTGGAGAGGAGTTTTAAAAACCTGATCCAGTTGTGACGCCTACAGGTCTCTTTGTATCAGAGACCTTCCCAGCATTAGCTAAACACACAAACAGTGGTGTGATTTCCTTATCTCCTACAGCCAATGTAATTTTCTGGCTATTCCTAGCTCAGACAAAGCACAAGTTTGTTATTGATATCCTCCTATTCATGGTGTCTCAGTAAAGGAGAGTGCATGGAAAAAAAACTAGAAATACATGCCTGTCTCTCAGCAAACAAACTCAATTTTAATGAGGTTTGAAAGATAGTACGTTATAGGTGGTATATTTTTCAGCAATGTGAAGTACAAGAAGTTAAGTCTTACTTTAAATGTTACTGATGCTTGTTTTACCAGTTTTTTAAGCATAAAGGGAATTTAGATCACTTTAAAGTCTTATACCTGTAATCTTAATGTTGTACTTGACCTTCTTATAAGATTATCAGTGGGGGGAAAAAAATCACAAGGAGTTCTGTATCTAAGAACAATAATAGTAGGCAGGAATCTGGAGCAGTCTGTCATTTTGAGAGTCCGTGGTTATTGAGCTGAAGTGTGGGTCTGTAGGTATTTGAAACTAGCCAAGAGTTCAGCTTGAGGAGGTCATTAAAAGATGGCCTAAACATGAAAAACCTCAAAAGGAAGATCACCATAGGGCAAAACTTCCCAATAGTTAGCATGATGTGTATTGTACTGCAACACTTAAAACTCCAGAAAAGAGATAGAAAAGATCAGGCTAAAATGTAAAGCTGGTAAAAGCAAATTTATCTCATTAAAATCCTTCATTTGCTGCTTTGAGAGGATCTCCAAAAGCCTTGAATAGGATTAAGGAAAGGGCATCAAGATGAACAGAGTCCAGCCATATCAGCAAGGGGTTTTGCAGATGGCATCTCTATCTTGCGAAAAGCTTTTTATACCTTAAAATCATGTTCAGACAGCTTAATACAAGGTAATAAGAAATGTGGACTCAGAAAGGCAAAAATGCAGGAAAACAGTATAGCAGGTCAAGCTAGGCACAGAACAGATGATCTCTTGAGGCTGGAAGGATTTTAGAAGCATTATGGTCTGCTTTAGAAAATTGTCCTTATTCTAACATTGCTAACTGGCGACATTTGGTGTCTCCTTTTTCTCTGTAACATAGGCACCTGTCCATTCAAATTCCAGGGAAAAGATTAAAAGTCTGAACTCTAACAGGCATAACACAACAAAGACAACCTCAATTCTTATGACTTTTAAAGAGATTTAAGCATTTTTGGGGAGAATGAATGCATGAGTTCTTCAGTATTAAGCATTCATAATAGCAACCTAACCGCTATTGGAAAGGGATGAGTATCAGTTGAGCAGGGTGAAAAACAGTTTTCTTCTTTACTGGACAACTTGTAAATGTTAACTTTATGTTTTTCTGGTGCAATTAAAAAAAAAAAAAATTCTATCCTCTACTACAGAGCAAAAATAAAGCAATACTATTTGCAGCTGTTGGAGAACCTGATTCAAGTCCATCTGTGTGTGTTTTCGTATAAAAACATGCTGAGCAATGGCTTATTTTGATAGACTACCAGGACGTTAGATTGGAAGCTCTCCTTTGCAGAGGATCAATTTTAATTCATCTTGTAAAGCCCAGGCATGCCTCTGTGCTGAGTGGCTGCCATTTAAAAGTCGGTGACCTTTGAGGCCCTGTTGGTGCAATCAGGCATCCAGATAGAGATTTTTGGTAAAAAGTTACAGTAACCAATGAAATACTTGAATTTTTCCTAGTATGAAGTTTAGCATGAAAGAAGATACAAATTGGGTAACAAATCATTGTAACATTAAAAACAAACAAACAAAAAACAAACAAACAAAAAAAACCAAACATTTTAGCATTGAAAAAAAAGTTTCTAAATACAACTTTACAGATCTTGATGCTCTGTGCTCAGTGGTCAGAAAAGTATTTACTGCACTGACTGAAGGCTGCATTGCATCCTCTTTGGCCCCCATAAGGAACTGTTACTTTGCTTTTCTGCTCTTTTAGTGTCATTTAGTCATGAGATTCTTAAAAGTAGCTTGCAACTGAACATTATTTATGCCTCTTTTCTTAGCTGTACCCAGTAACTGCTAATTAAGTCTTTTGTAGCATGACTCTGAACTAATTAGGGTTAATTGAGCCTGCTTGTACATTAGCTACTCCAGCACTTGTCTTGATAATCAGGAGGTTTGTGTGCATTGAGTATTTTGTGATTTGCTAGCTTAAATTCATGTTCTCTGCTGTTTTTCTGGCTCATGTAGCCTTTGTGACTACTCTGATGGTAAACATGAATATTCCTTTTCTGCTGGGGGCGGGGAGCATAAATTACTGGTCCCTACAGCAGACTTTTCATCAGGCAGCTTGGTTGCAATAAGGACAGGATGAAGAGGTAAGGTAAGTTTCACAGGTGTCCAGTTACGTGCTGAAAGTTGCTGAGGTACCAAGCTGCTGAAGTTTGAGCTTATCTGGAAGAATCCTCTTCTGTGTATAAACACTGCACGGTGCCGGAGGTTGGCATTGATAAACTACTGGCCTGGAAGGAAAAATGTCAGCACCTGAATTGGAATCATCAATTGCTGCAGTGTAATGTTGTCTTTCCCCTTGGAGGTCTTTCCTTCCAAGTTTTTGATCCAGTCTGTCCATCTTTAGCTCTGCTGAGGTTATTACTGAATTAGAAACAACAAAGCAGTCTATCAGGTGACAGCACCTCTGCTGTCAGTGTTATCTATGGTTAGGCACTGATAGACCTGTGAGATTCTAATCAGGCTCTCAAAGGTGCTTTGATTTAGTAAGGTGGGCTGGCTCTGTATCAGTCATCTTCATAGACAGCATTGTAGCTGTAACTGCAAGCCATGGACCACCACTGCAGAGCCAGGTTAGGCCACGGAGATGTACATTTTGAAACAGATGTGGTGAAGGCTGTGTTTTCCTGAGCACAGTGATGTAACAGCACTGCTTTAATATACACCTGACAAGATGAAACAAATGGTCGGGCTCAGATGGTTCTTGTGCAGTCAGGCTTTTGAGAGGTTTTAGTCTGTCCTGCTAGCACCAGCAGGAGGCTTCCTGGCTGTTAGTAGGACCCCACCAGTTACAAATACATTGGATTTCAAACTTCCCATCTCTAAGTACTTGTAGAACATACTGGAGTAGCATATTAATCAGCATACTGTGTATGAATCTTCATTTTTTGGCTTTGCTTACATAAATTTAGTTCAAGAGAAGTCATTTTTACTCATACTTTAGCTTTTTTGATGATGCTAATATAGGCACAACTGTGCACTTCCTTGAATTAGAGCAATACTTTGTCTTTTTCTCTGCCTCTTATTTAGTTCCAACAGGGAAAAATATTTTTTTTTTTTACTTTTTAAATGTTAAATTTGGAACTATGTGGTAGTTCCCTTTTTAGCTTTCCTTTAATACAGGAGAAAAAAATAAGTAAAACGAGTGCCTAGGAACTGTTAGAGTAATGAAAAACAAACAAAACAAGCAACAAAAACAGAAGTGTGTTCCACACAGAATAGAAGCTGTGAGCAACTCTATAGCAATCAGGAATAGTCAGAAAGCTGATTTATGTAAAGGTGAAAGGGTATATACACAAGGCAATCATTCCCCACAACATACATGCAACCTTCATTTAAAAAAAAAAAAAAAAAAAAGTAAGCACCGAAGCTATTTAGATTAACTACTTCTGGTTTTTCTCCTTAAATCCATTCAACCTCCTAACCTAGTGGGAATAGAAGAAAATCATTATCGGTTATCACAGAGATTTAAATTAAGATTTCTTCATAAAACTAAAGTTCTAAAACAAAATCTAAGAAGTGGAATTAATTGCTGGATCCGCGTTGAATCACCAAGAGACATGGTTTATTTCTGTGTCATAGCAGAAAGCGCCTCATCAGTAAAAATTCATATGGAGGAAGAATAAGCATGTACCGTACATTGAAAACAAGTATATCTGGGATGTTTAATTATTTTTTGATTAATTCATTTAACATTAAAGTAGTCAAGGGCTGCAACATATTCAGCACTACACAGTTTGCTACTGGTATGTATCTTCAGCTCTTCTCATTTAAAAGCACCTTGTGTTTTTTACCTGCAGCTGTTGTAAATGAATTACTACTACTCTTCTAAGCTACCTTCATTACCCTGAGGAAATGCACAGAAACACACTGGAGCTAAGATGATTTGCAGCATCTGTGGTTAAGATTTAATATAATGTACTCCGTGTTTTCAAGGATAAAATGAGGAGTGGGGTGGGGATTCGGTTAAAACACATGTAAGCATTAGATTGATTACTTAAAAACTGTTCAGCTAAGCAGTGTACTTATTCAATGCAAGGAATAATAGGAAAATATTTTTATTGTTCTTTGTTCTTTATTGTTCTTTGTGCACATTTCATATGAACTTAATGTAGATTAAAAAGTAGGAAATCAGTGCACAAAAGGCACTGAAGTTCACAAACAAGATGTGAGAACCTCTCCTAGCAATCGTTTCTTGACAGCACCAAACTAAATCACATCTTCGATTAACACAGTCACCAAAACTATCAAACACAAGTAAGCATCCTCTTCCAGGATAACCGGCGTGTGTGACTAAATGAGCATGTGTTAAAATAAGCCCGATGGGCCTTCAAGGGCTTGTATATTACATTAACAGTAAAATATCAAAGTGGAATAAAAAGACCATGACAGAGATAAGGCACTGACTGTTCAGATTTTGTAATGTTTTATGCTTGCTTTAAATCACAAGATGTATCAATGAGCTGTACCCTCTTTTAAATCTCATCTGAAACTTAATCTTTCCATTCTGTGGTCATTACTGTTATCGTTAACTCTGTAAAAGTGCACGACTGGAAGCACAAAAGATGAGAAGTACAATGCTGGGAACTGAATTTAAGTCTCCTAACTACTGTGTCATTTATGTTTGCATAATTTTTATCTGTGTTTATCAATTACTGGGTGGGTTACGGGTAAGAAAGCAAAGTTCACTAGCCAAGTTTCATCTGCTTTGGAGAAAAGCATGTGCTTAAAGTTATATTTGGATCAGTAGCACAAACAGGGCCAATTTTTTGAGGGGATAGATCATCTCTTGAAGCGTAGCACTGTTATTTATGAGTAGTGGACAACTTGTTATCAGATTATGTTCCAGAAACTCTGATCATCTGTCAGTCAATTGATATTGCTGGATTGGTGGAGAAAGCTTTAAACTGTTGCTGTCATGAGGTTTAATAAACGTTCCTTTGATTCTGTTAATTAGATCAGATGATAATCTGCCAGGGAATGACAGCTTCAATAAATCTATCTTAAAAAGGTGTTAGGAGTCACCAATCCTGGACAAACATCTGTTTGTCACAGAGTGAAAGGCAGGGTTTCCTAATTATTTGGCTGCTTTGTCTCTCTCTTTCTCCAGTAGCATAGTCCATGGCATGAGGATGTATGTGGCACAAGTAGCCAAACTGGCCAGAAAGACTTGCTGACCACTCTGCTTAATGAACAAGGTGTGAGGGGTTAGAAGAATCTCCAACAAAATGCAATGCAGTCTCATCTTGATAGCAACACGTATTTCACAGAAAGCGAAAAGACTATTTTATAGTAGGCTGTTAAGGAATAATCAGCACCTGTGGGATTAGTGTCCTAATCTGTCAGTCTGTAGATGCTTTTTTGCCTTGCAGCCTGAAGGCTTTACCAGATGATTCTGAATCTAATGTAATATTTCATTACGTGTACAAATATGTAGCTCTTTTCTTGAGCAATCCTGGCATGAACTGTAAGATGTCTTGTCCTGAATTGCACAGACTATGCAGAAACATTTATCTTTTCAAAACTGTGTTCCTTCCTATGTGCAGTTTCAGAATAAAAATGAGATGGTGAACGAGCTGTATTTTACCATGTGACATACCACTTTCCCCATCTCCATTGTGATGTTTTTTTCCATCTTCTCTCTGAAATAACCAATTATTTTGTTAATGTTTTCTCATACAGAAGTTGTTCAAGGACTCTTGTCACTTGCATGTTGCTTTACTGGCCCGGCTAAAGAGAGTGTGGTCTTACAACAGATAGGGTTTGCTTTAACAACTATTTTCTTTTCATTATTAGTTCTTACCGTATTTGTTTCATCTGGAAGATAAGGAATTGCCATACTGAATCAGACCAGATCAAAGCTAACTGCTGTCTTGTATTCTAGCCTCAGTTCTATGTAAAATGTACAATGAGCTTCCTCATGTCTTTGATGGACTTCAAAGTTATTATACCTAATAGGTATTGATGAAGCCATTGTACTCCATTAATGAAACTCCGTTCATTAATGGCCCTACAGTAACTGGTGATGAATTCTGTGATTTACTTGGTTTTCTGGGAGGGGAGGGGGAATACTTTGGTGCTCTTCAGAAATGGAACAGGAACTGAAGCTTGTAAATGTTATATACCTTGCATTGCAGTTTGACTTTGTTTGGGCCCTGATTCAATGGAATATTCTCTTAAGAAATTGAACCAGGTTCTTTTCGCACTAGCTCAGATTTATTCAGAGGGGACCACCATGGTTACCTGGATGAAAACCATCATAACTGGAATGGAGAGTTTTGCCTAGAGCGTTTTCTTCTTCTCTATACCTTCTAAAGGTTGCCTCTATTTGGCAAATGAGACCAATCACACAAAGCTCTTTGCTGAATTCTTAGTAATTTCTTTATGGGCTTGGAAGAAAAAAAGCTAATTTAGAATATAAAATATTGCATTCTAGTGCTGATTTTACCCATTAGCCCAGTGACTAGACTGAAACCTTCTGCTTCTCTAATTTGGACTGAATCATTAAAAACTTGTTTCTTTTAATTAGCATCTCTCCTTTGTTCTCCTCTCCTTTGTTCCCTCCAGATTAGAGTCATTCTCAGCATGCTGGTTTGCATGTATATTCTGAAGTACGTTGAGATCATTTGGGAGGAACCCTCAGGTTTTACTTTACCTGCCAAAATGCCCCTTGGAAGGTTGGGTACAACCTATATCTGGACTTTTTTTTTTTTTTTCCTGGTGCCATGAGAATAATAGGCAGCTGACTTCATTAATGTTTAAGTCCTTGTAAAGAGAGATTTGTAGCCTTTATGAAAGGACATGGTCTGTTCTGAGTTTGCTGTAATGGCTGCCAGATTGCTTCCCCATTGAAAAGAAAACTGTGCCTGGATATAAATAATTACTGCAAAACACTGCCAAGTCCAGGAATTCCTCTCTGTGGATCAGTTCCACAGGGTTTGAAATCTACATTTATAATTGTTTATTTTCAATGGAACTATCTTCAGAGCCAAAATTCAAACATGCAACTTTGGGGTTAAATTTGGCTTCAGCCAGAGTTGTGATTGCCATGTCTATAAAGGAAATGTGATGTTTCAGATGCTTATCTGCACTCAAAACCAGTTGAATCTCTTCACCATTTCCTTGTGCTTCTTAAAATTCTGATTAATCCTTACAATGGAAATAGGAAATGCTAACATACTGATTTTTATTTTTGGTATCATTTTGCACTCTTGCCCAGCATTTGACAGGGTTCAGACTACTGAATCCACTATTTTTGAAATATTTTTTGTGGAAGGCTGGCTACTAACAAGCAGTTGCTCTTATTTTTATATATATATATTACTTTTTAATTTCTGCTTTTAGAAATCACACTGGGAACAGACTGACACAATCTCTTATATACAGTAAATGTTTATTTCCCGCCTTTACAACTGTTTACACACCCTGTTTGAAATCAAGAAGGTAAAGACGTGGCCATTATGACCTTGACCTGCAATAGTTCAACTGTGATGGAGCTGGGAGAAGGTGCTCTGTATTGCCTGGTCATACCTCCAGTTCTGCTTCGTGCTGCTTTGCCGGAGTTCACCTTGCTGCTACGTGCTCTGATGTGAAAATCCGTTCAGAGGAGATAGTGACAAGAACAATACATTACTGACAAACCTTGAGAGAATGTTAGGAAACATCATTCCAGCTGTTAGAGTCAATGAGCAAAACTGTGAGTCTTGTCAAGTCCTTTTGCTATTTCACAGCATAAAACTGTCACCTCATTAATCAGAGGAGCGTGTTACCACGAGGCTCCAGTGTGAATAGCATTTATCGCTGATCTTGTCAATTCCTTGGAATAAACTACAACTTGATAATTCTCTCCTTGTGCATTTGAAACTTTTTTTTTACAATGAAACTTCTTTTTGCTAGTGATCTACTTGATTAATCAGACTGGTGAGGATTTGAATGCGTATATTAGAAAGCATAATTAAAAGGTAGATAACTAAGAAGCTCGTGCAGTAGGTGACTTATGCGTGGGGGGAGCTCCATTTAGCGCAGAAGAGTCTTGGTTGCAGCTATGATTCACTAATGACTTACTACATGAAACATGACTGGGATGTTTTGGAAATGTAAAGGGATAGTAAATGGCATGGTTCTGTTTCATTAGGTGTATAGTCCTGACAGAACTTCCTAAGTAGGGATCTCCGTCCATTTCCTACGATTGCGCTGATAACATTAGCTATTATCATTTGTAAACAGTTCACAACCTGTAATGGAAGTACATTTTTTTCAACTTTTCTTCTTTTATTCTGAACAGAACATAGCAATATGGATAGAGGCATACTCATTAACTTAAGAACCCAAGAGAATTGCAGTGCGGTCGATTTTCAGCCTAGAGAGCAGATTTTCAGGTAGCTGTGATGTTCGGTCTGAAGTTGACAGAGGAAAATGAGAGATTACAGAGATGAAGATAACTGCCCATACTGGATCAGCTGCAGAACTAGTGCTAGCAAGGAGTCCATAGGTGCTGGAGAGAAAAATGAGGGAAGCTAGATAACACCACCTCAGCTGTTCTTAGAATGTTTTGCAGGAATAATTGATCATACTATATCTGTAATATCACCCTTCCTTTGGAGTGGGCTGTTAACAATAATCGAGAGATCAATCTGCCTATAAAACTATTAATTTGTATTCTTCCTTGGAGACTTCTAGGCTCTGGCTTTGTGTTCCTCCACAGCTTTTGATCATGTCTTGCTAAAGTAATTCTTTTCCCAATACGACAGGTTCCTTCATCATGATCCCATTAAAGAGGAAAGAACAACTTAAAACTACATGCTTTTAAACATGTCACTTCTCATAAATGCCATTGACTCTGTTGTGTTATAACCACACTGAAGCCAATAAGTTGTTAATAATTTAGTATGCAGTTACAGAGGCAAACATAAAGCTATGCTTTGATCAAAAACACGTAAGACCATAAAAGCACAGAGTATTCTGCTCAAGAAGTTGAAAGACAAAAGTTAAATACTTAATACTAACTGGACTGAAGTTGTATTACACTAGAGAGGTTTTTTTGGAAATGATAACAAAGCTCAAACATTTCAGAAATATCCTAAATCACACCCTTTACAGAAGCTTGTAACTATGCTCATTGAGCAAGGTGTCTTTAACCCAATACAAGAAGCTGAGGACTGCTAAATCTGAACCCTTAAATTGCAATTCCAATTTAAACAAAATATTCTATGTCTTGGATACACAAGCACTCTGTACACATACAAGAGCATGAGAATCTTTTATACATGCAATTATAAAAATTATAATGTGTAGGAAACCTTGAAAGCAGGCAAAAATAAACGTAGCTGGTTTTAAGATCTATTAAAAAAACTTTTCATTGTGCTAGATGACAGGTTTCCACTGCGCTGTTGTAGTACCATGTTCAGGCCTGTAGTGGTCTTCCTGAAGTTTTAATTTCAAGGTCTTCCTAAGGATTTAATTTCATTTTCTTTTCTTTCCCAGTGAAAGCTCCTAAAGGAAAAGGCATGACCACACACAAGAGCTGCAAGCTCTGAGCTGCAAAGTGCCTGCAGCTGATTGAGTGCAGTCCCGGGAGAGGAACGTGTAACCACGTGCATGCACTTCAGGGGGAAATCTGCAGGCTCTGTAAAACCCTAGCTGCAGGAGGGCCCTGCTTATTTGGTGGAGATTTCTTTCAGGGTAGAGATCTGGTATAGGCATGAAATGCTACTTGATACCAGATTTATTAGTTTGTAGTTGAGATATAAAGTATTAGCTCTCTATTTATATTGTTCTGTTAATGAGCAGTCTCTGATAGAGATAGTATTTCTGCTTCTGGGCCTTCTCTAATATCAAAGGACAGATTTCTGGCTATAATTACATACGCATTAGGCTCTTCTCCTTTCAGCAGATATTGTTAAATTGCTCTGATAGAGATACAAAATACAATACAAATAGACCAAGAATAACATTTTGATCACATTTTAATTCAGTGTTTTTAGTTTTGTCAACATTTATAGATGTCTGAGGCAACAGAGTAGGATAATTACTGGAGCAAAAGAAAGGACAATGCTCGCATTTCCAGGAAGCATCATAACAGCAATATTGTCTTCATGCTAGAGAACTTTCCTAATATGAGTGCATAAAGACTTCTGCTTGTTTTTAGCAAATGCTATGCTATATTCAAAGTCCTACATTAGGAAAATGTTTCATTCTGCTGGAGAATACACTCTGGTTTCCACAAAGCTTCTTAGAGTTGAAACAGGGAATATTTTATAAAACTAGAGAGATTGAGGGCTCAGACTAGTAATCTGTAATACCTAATTAGTCAATCAAGACAATTTGTATTTAGCAAGCATGACACAACTGTGTTACAATCGAAACATAAAGGGAATTCATTTTTTTCTACCATACTAAAGATTGGTAGCTCAGAAGAAACACAGTGTTTTATTTGGGAAACACAAGGTGGGATTTCTCAGACAGTTCTTTACTTTGGCTGCACTATTTAGCAAAAGGTATGTTCAGTGGATCTTTTCCTTCCATTCTAATTTCAATAAATAGTGAAGTAACAGATAGGAGAATGTTTTGTTATTGTTCTGTCTAAGTTGGATACAAGCCCTGACAACAAA